TATTGTGCTGACAATCGCTGCTTGACAGATAGTGTTACAAAGCTAAAGATGATATTGTGCTAGTTGAATGGCCAGGACGGGAGCAGACTAGTCATGGTGATGTCACCGTTCCTATGAAAGGTCCTATTGTCTGGAGTTTGATAGAAATCTCAACAGTGTCTAGTTTCATGAAAGGTGAAAGTTCAGTGAAAGTTTACTGTTGCATTTTATATTTGTATTTATGTTTTACAGGTTTAAAATTCTATTTAAAATTAAAGTTCATGTGTGGAATTTGTAATCTAACAACAAAAACAATTTCTATCATCTCTCCATCCCCTCCTGAAGAGACCCTCCCCAAAGCCACTGCTGCCCCTAACGTCCTCATCCTGCTGTGGGTAGTTGTCACCACTTTAAGTCTGTCTCTGGGGCTGCTGGTGGTGGGATTCCTTTATATTAGGAAACACAGAGGTAAAGAAAAGCAACATCATCTAATCTGCTGCATGTTAATAACTTCCTTAAAAACACTTAGAAGAGAAGGCAACTATAGCCGTCAAGTTTATGAAGGAGTGCATCTTATCACACATTGGGTTTGATATTCATGTAACAGTTTACATAGTTAGAAATTGAATGACAAAGAACAGCAAAGTCACATTTGTGTGAATCATGTCCGCTGTGTCCAAAGAGAGCAGGTAATTGTTTGAGAATGTATATGTATAATGTTTTTGTGTCTCTGATGTCAGTGTGCTTGCGTTTCTATCCATCAGTGGTGCTCTGCTTTTCCTCAAAGATGGCAACAGCAGCATCAAACTCCGGCAAAGACGATCAAATAGGTGAGACTGTGTGTGCTGTGATTCAAGTCATTTTGATATATAGAAACTTAACCATCCAGAAGGCTTCTTCACTTCTGACTGGCTGTCAGGGAATCCCAGCTATTTAACCTCTGAAGGGTCATTGTCAAGATGATGGATACCACTTGGTTCGTTGGTGCTCCTGGCTGTTGTAACGTCAGTTGTTAAGACTTGGCCTCAGATGACTCAAACGACCAGAACGACCGGTGTTGGCTTTTTGACAATATTGCCCCTGATAATAATTCTTGGATAACGATGACCTAGATCAGGGGTATTCAATTAGAATTCAAAGAGGTCCAGTTAGAGAAAATTTCCCAAAGCAAAGCTCTGGAGCATAATAATGACTAACTTGCGTTATCATTCAGTACCATAACATATAGTAGTATCAACATATGTTTTTAGTCAACAACATACTGTCAATTCAAATAATATTTCAATAATATTTACTGTCAGTTTTCACATCAAACTGGAGGGATAGTAAATAATAACTACTCATAATAACTAATATATTCAGAATTTTAGGAAACCAAAATAAAGTCCCTAATTTTTAACATTTTTTTTATAATAAACACTCAACACATCTTAACAAATGAACGGCTGTAATGCCTCCTCTTCTCTTTCATTCCCTCTTGTTGAGCTACCACTCCTACTTTCTCTTGTTCAGTGAGAAACATGAGCTCTGGTTTGTCCTGCCAGCTAGGATTAGAGATACTCGAGATATTCTGTTTTTGAACTGCCCGTGGGAGGAATGTAAATGTAAGAATCTGTACATTCTTGGTTAAAAGCCATGTGAAATCTCTTTTCTCTTTCTTTGTGTGTTTCCAAAATGTCTGGTCAATCTGTCAGACTCGACTCGCAATGCTTATCGGAATGCACAGATTTGATTTGCTGAGCAGGATCATGAGACGATTAGAGCACATGCAAATAGTCAGTGAGTTTCCTGGGCCGCCAAACCTGTACAGTAAATGCTAGAAAAGCTATGCGGGTTAAAATAGAAACGCTCCGTCACGAAGTAGTAATTCTCAATAATTAATTGGCTGTAGGAGAGGACGGCAGCTGGGTCCGGATCCGGACTGTGGTCCGCCTATTAGTGACCTCTGACCTAGATGACTGAGAATCTTTACAGACAAAAACTTTTATAGTAAACTGCAAAAAATGAGCTAGTTGTTTTATCTAGATCAAAGAGTTGTTATTTTTAAACCTAAAAGAACATTTATAGTCTACATTTATGCACGTGTACTTATGTCTACCTGCCAACCTTCTGCTTCTGCATTTAATAATCTAAATGTACTTTAAATTTTTTACACAAATGTTTTCTTTTTTTGTTTCAGTCTCTGAAGACAATGCTGCAGATGACCCAAACAGTGTGACATATGCAGTCGTCGTCATAAAACAAAGAAAGGACAAAGGTTTATTTGACTTTAATTTAGATTTTTCTTTTCTATAACATGATGTGATGAACCCAACAAGACTGTATGGGATAACCTATTTCTTAAGCATTTACACATTTTATAAGCGCATATTTACGCTTTAATTTATGAAAGTTATACTTATACTACTATACTTATGATTTGCAATTATGTGAATCACTTAAATAATAATAATAATAAGAGGAGTTGCTTTGTGTAACTCTCCCTGATGTTGAAAGTGGCAGTTGAGACGTGCTGCCCAGCAGGACTGATGTCTGAATTATTTTTGAATCCTCTCAGTGTGTCATAGATGGTGTTTTGTTTTTAGACACAGCAGACGCTGCTGATAATTTGAGTCTTTGCCCCAAGACAAACCACAGCAGAAAACCACAAAGACATAAAGGTGCCCATTTAGTCTGTCAGTATGAGTATTTTAAGTTTTCTTATCTGTCTGTCAACCTCTTGCTTACTGTTGGTTTCTCTGGTTCAGATGAAGATGAGTCCTCACATCAACCTGTTTACTCTGCTTTGACCATGAGTGCGAATCCACGAGTTTGCAGACCTGATTTGTATATTATTAAATTTTTGTTAGATAATATTTCAGGTATTTTCTAAAAATGTGCCCACACAGTTCTGATGCCCCACAAATCTTTATCTGTTTAAATCAGTATGTAACTGAGAATGCAGATTTCCCCTGCGAGTTATTGTTATTTGACCCCTTTAAAGTGACTCCAAAGGCCCTGTAGCTCACACTGTAATCAATGATCTGTCACACTTTGGGTGATTCCTTTTTTTATTACTTTCTTTGGGCAAGTGAGCTGATGCTGTTCAGATTGTTGGTAGAAACTATGTGCTGTAATCAGAATGAAAAACAATACATTCCCCCTGAAATGACCTCAAAAGAGCTCTTACTGGCAAAAAGAAACAGACGCTGACATAATATTTAGCAGTTTGGTTCAAAAGGTGGAAAAATTCAATAAGTTTTAAATTTATTACATAATACAAAAGCACAGAAAAATGGTAAAATCTACATGCAAGCTGCAATCTGAAATCTCACCACTAACAGCCCCTGTTGACAACACATGGTCCCTTTAAGACACAACAAATCTGATAATCTGAACAGCATTTTTCAATAACATGAGCTAAAGAAACAATTGTCAAGGTAATCCCATGTTATATTGAACAGACCGTTTTATCTGGATAAACATTTTTAAGTCAAACTTTACATTTTCAGTGCCACCACACAGCTTCCCAAGCGTGTGCTTGTGCGCATGCTCGAACTAATAAGGGAACCATAACAGAGTCCGATACAATGGACGGCATCATATTCATCGTATTCTTTGTATCATGTTAGTTACCATTGTTCATATGTCGTAGGCTAATGTGGCAAGCCACAACGTTACAACTAATCAATGGATAACGTTGGTTGGCGTTAGTTGGCAAGCCAACTAAAATGTTTCTCTTGCTTTGCAGTAATGTTAGTTTACCTGTCCAATAGGAGGAAAGCCAACTCTGTGTGTTTATATATGTGAGGTCTGTTCGTTACCCCAGCCTTTTGGATTTTGACTGATTCTCGTTTGGCATGAAGGGCTTCAGCACATAAAACTTTGTTATTGGTTTTTATCCTTACAGAAGTTTGTCTGTAGGAGCTGATACTTTTTTGATGTTAGCAGAGTAAAATGTTTTAGCTGCAGTAATGTCGCTGCGTATAGAGTTCAGTATAAGTTAGCAAAAACTCTTGGGAGCACGCATCAACATCATCATGTTTTTTGTGGAAAATCTGACTTGATTTTTTTCACATAGGAAGCAGTATGTTACAGATATCCGAGAAAGCGGGCAAATGGTCCATTATTTGTGAGGTTACAACCAGTTCACAAAAAGCAATAAAGTGATTAATTCATTACAAAACTACATACTGCCTCTTTAACATGAAATATGAATTCTACTTGTCTCTAAAGCAGAATCTGAACCCATGAATCGCACAGCAGCCACAGACTCAAGCTTAACAGAGCAGGAAGTTATCTATTCTCCTATCCAGAAGGTAAGGGGGCTTTCACACCTCAAGTCCGCACCAAGGTCCGGATCAAATATCGTTGTCGTTTTAAAAACTTTTTTTTAACACAGTAGTGTGATGGATGCAATGAATGATGAAATACTGGTTTGAGGGACACAAACGCATTGAATATCCCTCCTGTCGTGCAGATTCATGTTTTAAAATTACGAAGGTTCCTTCTGCTGGGAAGTCCTCAGAGTGGCTGAGAAGGAAACCCCTTCAGTTTTTTCTGAATGACTACAAATTGCTCTTTGAATCTCTATAGGGAAATGTTCAGGGCTCAACAAAACAATTAGTTTCATTATCACTTAATCTTCTGATTCATCAATTAATCATTTTATTAACAAAATAATTTATTAATAATCAATTTAATGTCAGAATATTGTGAAAAATGCACATAACAATTTCTAAAAAAACAGCTGTTGTGTTTAAGCTTCACCAATACATTTTTTTATCTTGATCAAAACAGATAAATATTCAGTTTACTATCATAACACAAGACAAAGAAAGTTTTCACACTTGAGAACTGGAAGATTTGCTATTTTTGCATCATCTAATTGTTTCAGTTTGTTAACAGCGATACTGATGAAACTGTAGCTTTTTTACCGTCCTGATCTTTCAGGTAATCAGGCCTGACTTTAGCGTTTAGTTGCTCCTGTAAAAGCAGAAAACGACCCTGGAGTTAAGAATATTTTTACCAAAGATATAATCTTTTTGTTTTCTGTTTTACAGGCCACAAAGAGCAGCGACACCTGACCGAGGAAGGGAGGAGAGACCCTGTTGGTGTCATTATGTTACTATGTGTTGAACTTATTTGTGTATTTTTAAAGTAATTTCATATAACTTCATTACATGTAATTAGAATATTCACTGTAATTGAAAATGCCAAGCAATATATTTACACACATAGGGGATGTTTAGTCTTTAGTTTTAACTCACAGCATCAGTGTCAGGCAGAAGTTAGTTAGATTTATTATTAACTGTCACATTCAGAAACCATCTGTCTGTAAAAATTGTTACAGTCTTCTGCAACATTGTGAGCAATGTATTCTCCTAAATTACCTCACACACACACACACACACACACACACACACACACACACACACACACAGTAACTCATCAGAGGCTGACAGACACCAGTATGAATAATAACACCTACTCTATCTGCTATCATAAACAGAGAAATGTTATTGCTCAGTTTCAGTGAAGAGATATACAGACAGATTTTGTTAATTAGCTTATTATAAATTTGCAGACTTCTTTTTTTCTTTTATTTTTACAGCAGCATGGAACATCTGCACAATTTGATATATAAATGTATTTTTATTGTTCTGTGTAAGCATTACCCTTAAAGCTTGAATGCATGTGCACTCCAGATATAGCTGCGGCTAGCTGACCATGTGGTTATCACAAACAACGGCTGAATTCTCAGTTCTGCGTCCATGTATGTTGCTGAAAACACTGTAAGTCAGAGGGTCTATATGCAAAAAAGAAGGGAGACATGGCTGGTAGTAATGTCTTCAAGCAGAGTTGCTAAACACCTCATTTCACTGATCACCTTACTGAAAGAAGTCATCTGTAGACTTAAGTTAGTTTCATATTGTCTGTATTCTCCCTCTTTGTGTGGCTCACTGAGTCTGGGCTGTGACACAGTAAATACAGAAAGATTAAGATAAAGACATGAACCTCTTTGTTCTCCAGCTCTTCCTTCACAGTCTGCAGGTCGTTCTCCTTCCTCTGCTTCTCTTCTTGGAGCTGCTGCAGCTCAGCTTGTTTGGTTTCAACCTGGAAGGACAGCGAGAAGTTTTAAAGAGAGGAGAAGAGACAAATGTTCTTTTTACTAACATTTAATACTTTACACTATAAATTAACATCTGTGTCAGAAAAAACTAATTTAAGACTATTTTGTACTTGACCTACATAAACTACTGTGAGTTTGACTTTGTCTACATTAGATGACATAAAGAATGTGACTTCATACTAAAATCAGTGTATTATATTATTAAACTAAAGATGAACCTCATTCCTCTTGGTCTCCAGCTCATCTTTCAGTGTCCGTACTCTTTTCTCAGCTTCATCCCTCCTCTGCTGCTCCTTAAACTGAAAGAGAGGAGAGACATAAACAGGGACAACAATCCAGACATGATACTATTAATGTAAATTAAATGTTTAACAGAATAAATCAGAAGTTAAATTTTGAGTTTAAATTTGATAACTTAAGTCTGCAGTGGTTCATACTGGTTTCAGTAAATCAAACTTCCCACTTAAAGTCTCGGTTTTGTCTTTTGCTGCCATTTCAAGGATTCTCAACATCACAAAAAGTTGGTCACAATTAAAAACCAATCAAAAGACGTCAACTTAATTTAAATTCTTTTCAGCAGTATTGCATTTGTTTCTTTACCTCTCTAACTCTTTACCTTTTGTGTTGTTTTAATCTCCATTGAATTTTGCTTTGAATGTTATGTCCTGTTTCTTTACTTACATGTTTTGTCTCCCTTTCCCCTTTTTCGTTCTTCACACTCTTCATTGTCACTGTTTCATTTGTCATGAGCTGCTCTCTTTCTGCTTCAATGTCAACCTGAACTTCAGGTTTGTTTCTTTTAAAGCGCTCCTTCTGTTCTCCTTTATCCATTTCATCCCTGTGGCTTCTCTTGCTCTCTGTGTGAAAATACAGGCAGTAGAATTAAAGTCATGTCCTTGCATCACAGCATATGAGACATTTGAGTCTAAAATCAGGTGTTAATGGGCTACAAAAATAAGACACCTGACAATTTCACTTATTGCTAATAAAAGTTCAGCTATTTGAAACTAAAACATTGATCACATCATCAATCATTTCTACCTGTAATCTGAATATTTGTCTCTCTGGTCTGGTTGATGTCCTTCTGTTGGACTCTACAGGTGAAGTTGTTGCTGTGTCTCTTCTCCACAGTCACTCTGCTGCTGACAGTATAGAGGTCATCAGGACCTCTGACTGTCTCTGTAGGTCCAGCAGAGAGGAGGTTTCCCTCACCGTCCAGCCAAAACACCTCAGGCTCTGGATACCAGCCTGCAGACTCACACTGTAACACCACTCCCCCTTTGTCTCTGTCAATCCCTGCTAAACTGATGACAGGTGAGGAGACGGCCCCTGATGTTGAGCAAGAGGAACATTTAAAGTGAAAACATTATTGTACTTTAAAGACTCATGTGAACTTCTATCCAGGGAAAATATCATTTAAATCCTGAACAGACTTAAAAAATATTTTTTTCCCCCTTATCTTGTCTGATGACTAATTTTATCACTGAATCCCAAATTGAAATGAATTTAACAAAGAACTGTTTTTGTGAATTCTGCTCCATGTTCTGCTTATTCTGCATATAGTTCAAATTATAAACTACACATATATACATACACATTTATACATATTAAATCATATTCTTTTCTCTGTTTGAATTTAAACAAAGCCCTACAGACTCCACTGACCTTCACTGACAGTATCGTTACACAAATAATAGGCACCATTGCTCTAAAAGTTGCTCCGTGTATCATCAGCTTTAGACATGATTTATTACTGACTAATGGACTTTGTACAGTGTAAAGGGTTTTATGAAACGATTATATCAGATTTAAAACCTTTTTAAATTCACTAAGACAGTCTGTGATACAACAAAAGTGAAAATATTTCACCTGCAGAATGTTCTTGTGGTCCCTCCCTGTTGACAAAAGTGAAAGTAAAAATCACGACATGTTTTAGCCGGTCAATGTTTTACTACCGTAATCCCCTTCCCCCACCACCCCGCCACTATCCGTTCAAAACATAGTTGGATTTGCCACAAGCAAGATTGCCCAGCAACATCGCTCAAAAAGTTGCCCAGTGTATCATCAGCTTTAGTATTGGACAGGTTGCTGTCAAACAGGCGTCCTGTGAAAAACTGAGACTTTGTTCTGCCCCGATCTGACTGAGAGAAACTCAAGGGCGCGTTCAATCTCAAAACGTTTGGAACCGGTTTTTGTGTTGAACAACTCGGAACAGTGCGCAGCGGTCTCAAGGTGTGTTCTTTACCTGCTCTATATGAAAAGCGCTATAAGATAACTGTTGTTGTAAATTGGGGCTATATAAAACGGAATTGGACATAATTGGACAAGAGAAACTGAGAAAGGTAATGTGAATGGTGTCATTGTCATGTTGGTGTTACTGGAGTAGAACCGAGAGAGTTAACGTCCATAGACTCCTGATCAGAGGAGCAGGAAGAGAAAGAGAAAGAGAGAAATAAGGTTTTACTGGTTTAACTGGCTGAATTAATTTGTGAACGTTGATGGCGCACACTCACGGTTTGACGACTCTTTGACGCAAACAATAGGTATGTAGGCTTTTTACATGTAATACTTTTGTTTTAAGACCTTAGTTTAACAAAATGTTTCCTAACCTATATTTAAAAAACCAACACAGTATCTCTCAATCTTTCACAGATCTTACTGTATTGGTGGTTTTTAGCACAGTTGGTGTTTGGTGTGTCATTAATACACAAAATGTAATAGTAGACTTGCGCTATGGAGAGCCAAATCTAATTTACATAAAACAGTACATATTCTTATATATATACATCAGATATATGAGTACAAATGAAAGCAAAATACAACACAAATTTGTTTAAAATAAATTGATACCTTTTTAAGGCTGTTTGTTCTAAAAGGGTGGTCAACATGATCTGTACCAACTTGAAATGCACTATAAACCTTTTACTGAGTTTCTGTGACAAATCATAAATCACAGCATAAATTGTTGAATCAGAAGTAAGCATACATTATTTCTATTAAATGGACTATAAATGCAAAACTATCACCAGATTGCTGAAAGTCTGAACCATGTGGGTCATTTCCCTGCCTTTAGTTTTCTAAGACCGCTAAGTAAAGGGTTCATTTTACTAGAGTTAAAGTAGTTTTCCTGTTTACAGTTGATTTATTTATATTCTCTCAATTCCAGAATGATTCACCAGAACAAACAACCTCTGCTAAGTGACCTTAGTGCTTTGGTTTTGCATCACACTGTCGTCTTGGTTCTCCTAACCCACTTTTGTGCAAGTAAGTTACACATAAGCATAATAATAAAGTCTTTCTATTCAATCTTACATAATAAAATACAAGTCTTCAGCCATGCTAGTGTCTTGGTAAGACTGTGTGTAGTGTTCACCATATTTATCATTTAGCATGCTAACATTTGGTAATTAACACTAAATACATATCACAGCTCATTCTGATATGAATGTCATTTTGCAGGTAACTGATCATAAATCAAAGTAGTGGACATACAGAAAGTTAGACTTGATGTTTGCACTAGATGAATATTCAGAGAGTCATAAAAGGTATTACAGTTAATCCTATGAAGAAAATGATGTAAATGATCCACAGTTTTATTTCACAGACAAACAACAAAGGAGCTTGAGCAGGATTTAAAAACAGCCCTGTCTTTCCCCAGGTCAGTCTCAGATAGTAGCAATGGTTGGTGAAGACATTATGTTGCCATGTCATCTGGAACCTGCCGTGGATGCTGTTTCTATGACTGTGGAGTGGGCAAGAAGAGATCTGAGCCCCAGATTTGTCCTCGTGAGACGTGGCGGTGTGGAACTCCTGATTAACCAGAATCCATTATATGTGGGAAGAACATCCCTCTCCATCAACAAACTGAAGCACGGAGATGCTTCCCTGAAGCTCTCCAATGTGAAACTGTCTGATGAGGGAACGTATATTTGCAGCATTCTCACACAGGGAACATCATCTGAGGTTAAGGTTTATGTAGGTAAGTGGCTTTAATCCAAGAGGTTGAAGATGATGAAGTCAAAGATTTAGCACGTCTGACTTTAATACATGAGACTGGAGCTTGGGTCCCATCACAGACTTGCAATTAACATTCAGCTCTTTAGTTAACCGTATCTAAAAAACAGTGTTTTAGTTAACTAACCATAATACAAATTAAAGAACTCCTGCACACTGTCTCACACTCAAGACACTGAACATAACCTCAACACTTAACCTTTGCAGTAACCACATCATTCCCTAACCTTAACCATACTATGGTTGCCATGTGCAGATAACAGAGAGAGCAATTAAAAAAACATTATCATTGTATTTAAGATTTGGTTTTATAGATTCATCCCTTATTGAAGTTCCTGTCTGGTGATATATTGAATATTGTGGTTCATTAAAGGTTTTCAAAAAGAGGACCCTTTGATAATGAGAGCAAAATGGCAGACAATAATCTCACTCTTATTAATCAATCAGTATTTGAGATATTGTAAGGCAATTTGAACATGGGGAAATATAAAAGAGACACTAAAATAGTCAAATAGAGCAAAGAGTTAAATAGAAAATAAAACAGAATAATCAGGACAGTAAACGTTACAGTGCAGTGCAAGCTATTAATCTACAGTCTAAGATTTGATTTGTTTTAATATTCAGCAGATTTAAGATGATCCTCCATTCCTGCTGTGAGTGGTATTGTGGGACAACAACAACTTGAAGCTGAATTCTGGTACAATGGTCTTAGAAAGAACTTTCAGCAGACCTGCAGTTTTCTGGGAACGCTGAATCTCCATGTTTAGTTTTGACTCTGGGGACAGAAAGAAGACCTGTCCCAAATGACCTCAGAGGTCTGGATGGTTCATAATGTAGCAACTGTATTGTAGTTCACACAGCAGATAGTTAGGAACAGTTCAGTAACTTTCAGAGTGGTGAGAGACCTGGGTTTAACTCCCCTACAAATGGGTCCCTGAGCAAGACCCTTAACCCCTAGTTGCTCCAGAGGCGTGCGACGTATGACAAAATAGCAATTTTAAGTCGCTTTGGATGAAAGCGTCAGCTAAATGAATAAATGTAAGAAGTGCTGTGATTTCATTTTTTATGGAGATTTTTGTCACATTGTCCTCTTCCTCATCTTCAGGTTCCGTCTCATCACCAGTTTTAAGCATTTCCAAAAACAGCAGTGGGTTATTATTAGACTGTAAATCTAAAGGCTGGTATCCAGAGCCTGCGGTGTTTTGGCTGGACGGTGAGGGAAACCTCCTCTCTGCTGGACCTCCAGAGACAGTCAGAGGTCCTGATGACCTCTATACTGTCAGCAGCAGAGTGACTGTGGAGAAGAGACACAACAACAGCTTCACCTGTAGAGTCCAACAGAAGGACATCAACCAGAACAGACAAGTGGAGATTCATATTCCAGGTAAACACGATTTAGAAAGTTTTATCAAGTTTAAGTACATATATTTTAGCACTATTTAATTCCCATTGCTATATCTAGGGTAATCTGATGAGCTTGGATGCTTCGGATCATAAGCAGTTCCTTTCTTTCTCCACACTTTGGCCTTTCCATCACTTTGGTAGAGATTAATCTTGGTCCCATCAGTCTATAAGATTGTGTTGCAGAACCTTTGCGGCTCATCTCTGTACTTCTTTGCTAATTTCAATCTGGCCTTCTGATTCTTCCTGCTGATGAGTGGTTTGCATCTTGTGGTGTGGCCTCTATATTTCTGCTCTCTGAGTCTTCTTCAAGCATTTTGAAACCTTCACCCCTGCACAGTGGAGGTCCTTGGTGATGTCACTTACTGATGTTTTGGGGGTTTTCTTCACAGCTTAACGATATTTCTGTCATCAACTACTGTTGTTTTCCTTGGCCGACCTGTTCGACGTCTGTTGCTCAGTTGCCAAATTGTTGTGCTTGCTCTGCCCAATGTTTGTCCAATGGCTCTGGTCGATTGTCCTTCTTTTCTCACCTTGACATTTGCTTGCTTTTCTCCCATAGACAGCTCTCTGGTCTTTATGTTGGTTTATCCTCTTTAACAGGAAATACAGTTTTTATGGGTTTGAACCAAGGATGAAAACTTAGACCAGTCATGCAGAGCTATTTAATGTTTGGAAAATCAACCTAAAAGTCAGTCACATGTTCCAATAGTTTTGCTCACTTGAAAAATGGGTGGGTTCAAACAAACGGTGTTATGTCACATCTACATGTGAATACCACGAAATCAAAACTGAAATTCTGAACTCTCATACTCATCTTTTGATCTTAAGCCTAAACGTCTTCAGTGAACAACAAAATCAAAGGAATTTGCCGTTACAACACTTTTGGAGGGGATTATATATAATATATAATATATCTGCTTATGCATAAAGTAATATAAAATAATTTCAGTATAATAAATGCATTGCTAATCATGTAACGTGCTGTGTCCTGCCTCCCACCAAGAAGAGGTCAGTTAATATGGCCTATTTAGCTGCCTCTTGTGGCAAAAGTTTTTCGTATTTATTATTTTTTTTTGGCACCACACATTTCTTTTTCATGTTTCTTTTTGCCATTTTTGCCATTTCTGCTGCGCTTGTCACACAAACCTGGGCTGAGTTCAGCCCTGACAAAATTTTTTAAAATTGACGTCACCCAACTCCTTTGATTAATGTTTTTGAGCCAATCAGATTTCAGCAAAAACAAGGATTAGTCCGAGCTGGGAGGGGCCGCCCTTATAACCCCTCAATATTGAAAGTATTAGTCTGAAGCAGACACATACAGCGTTCCGCTGCAGCTGACAAGACGGCCGGCCAGGTCTTGTATTGTAAAGTAAAACATTAGAACTATAATATATAATAAAAACTTTTGACCACTGGCCGGTTCAGCCTGAAATGGAATTCGCTGTTGGTCTTTGAAGCCGTGTTTGGTCCTGTTCATGCCATGTTCACTGGGAGGCTACTGAGTGCGGTTTTGTTGTCCCGCTCTCCCGGCTCTGATTCCCATTCCGCCTTCATCCATGCTGGCTACCCCCAACCCCTGGCCAGAAAAAGATTGAGTAAAGGTGTAAACACTCTCATACAGTCAATGGTAAACATTAATTTGACCACTAATTGCATGGCTAGCTGAGCTAATAAGATAATGGCAGCTAATTAGCAGCAGTTAGCAGATGCTTCAGTAACAAGTAACACTACCTGTCCATAAAGTTGTGTTTTTCAGTGGGGCATGTTTGGCCTCCAGAAACACTATGCCCCAGCAGCATTAAAATATATAGAAAACCTTTCATTGGACGCTAAATTAATAAAGGCCCCTGAATGCAGAATGAATCAACAACATTTTCCAGGAAATGACAAACTCTAAAATATCATCAAGAAAGCCTACAAAACAACCTTTTTTTGCCATTGATGGACCAGAAACTGGCAAATTAGTGATGTATTGCAAGGCATACCTTATAAAAAACATTTAAACATTGATTTTGATTTCATGGGAATGGGAGCATTTATGTTTGTATGTTTCTCTAAAATTACACTGAGCAGACAACACATCTTTGATACTCTCTTATATTTATTTGCATATTTGGTATTAAAGTAATCCAAAAATAATCAGGTTACATTATTTTTAAATTATGGTACTTTGATTATGTTACCGATTACATTTTTTAACAAGTAATTAGTAGGCTAATTGTACTGGAATACACTTTTAAAGTAAACCTCCCAACACAGAGGATAATTAAATGCCACCTAGCTTTGTGCTATAACATATACTCAGTGTCATTGGTTGCCACTGTCAAAGAAAGGAGTTCGACTTGTCTCCTGTGGTTTCGCTCCTCTTGAGCTGCATGGTGGTATCACTTCAGTTCATTTAGGTTAACAAATAGACACAGGCAGAAATTAAACAATTGGTATGAAGGTTATTATTTATTGTCCATAACAGGAGTTACAAGGGTACCTTGGATTTGTGGGAACTTTCCTGTGTTTGTTTTCCTCTTTCTCTCCCTTTATTCCTGACAACATACTTGTGTTAAAAACGACTGGCATTCATGATGTTTAGTAACCAGTGAATAGGACAAATGACCACCATCTGACTGTAATAATGTAAATGTGAATTTTACATTTTTCTGATTTCAGATGATTTTTTCATCGTCCCACCTAGTTGTGATGGTTGGATCATAGCGGCTTCCTGCTTAATGTTTGTGGTTGTTGTTATGGGCATTGCTTTGTGTAAATGCAGACGACGTTGAAAAAATGGTAAGTCACAAATGTATTCAACTTCTTTATGAATATAAAGTTCACAGTCATTTTTATGGTAATTATAAAAATGTGTAGCAGACTTGTTGTTAACCCCCATGTCCAGTTTATGCTAAGCTATCTAACTTCAGAGTTAACAGATAGACAAGAGAGTTGTATTGATGATCTCATCTAACTCTCAGCCTGAAAGTGAAAGTGAATTGTCCTGTGAATTGCTTTAATACCTTTTGTCACTGAACTGGTCTCACAAAGCTGGTTACCAATCACATGTGCTAACTCTGGCTAAACCATGACCTTGCACTCATGAAAGATTTGTAACAAACAGCCAATAATACGTTTATTTATGAGTCCTTTCGGAAATGAATAATTTATGCAACCATAACAGATCCAGGGCAGAATATTTAACAGAACACTATGAAATGATTGATTCCCTCTGATACATAAATTCATTGGAGCATCAGTAAGAGAGATTCTGTGAGGTGAAAGTAACAAAAACTAATCACAGTACTAGAAGCAACAGACACGGCTAAATGTAATGCAGTCACAAAATACTCAAACAACAGACTGTCATGCTGGTTTGTAAGAATCTCACTCTCCTCTGTTGTACTTGACCCTTTAATGTGAATGGAGTATTTCCACACTGGGGTCCTGTAGGAATTTCTCCAGTTAATTGGTCAGGATGTGGTTGTTTTTATATGTTTTGAATTGTAAATCTAAAGAAAACATACTCCCTGTTTGTTTGGCCCGCAGCTTTGCTTGGAATAGCGTTTGAACTCACTGTGAACTCCAGCTATCTTTGTAAGACCAAAAAGCCAGGGCTACAGTTAGCTTGCTTTGTGAAACTGACCCCAGGTCGAACTTGTCAAAAATTTAACACTGTTATTGGTTCTACTTTTACACAGAAAAGAGAGTAGGACAAGCATCAAATGAGATGACATCATTCAAGACGGACGGTACTGCTTGAAGGAGAAAGAGTGCAGCACATGACAGACAGGGACAGAATTGTGTATTTAGATAAGATGCTCAACAAACTTAATGAAGAGTTACAAAGGATTGAAGAGGAGTGGGAGTTTGTAGTAAAAGCTGTTGGTGCACTGAGAGAATATTGATTGAGAAACATATTAAAGTAACTAAGAGATTTCTGGATGAGGCCTTCTGGAGACTTTCCAAAGGGACAACTGTCTTCAAAATCCCTGATGGATTATGACGTTTCCTTGGTAACCAAACCCAGCTGAAACTTCTCCTGCTGTCTTCCACACACACACAAACAGATCATCTGGACACCAAAACAGATCATCTGGACACCAAAACAGATCATCTGGACACCAAAACAGATCATCTGGACACCACTTCTCCCACCTCCACTTTCCTGACCTTCGTGTGACACAGATAGGGGATCGCCAGACACCCCCGGACTGCATTCCTGAGAAAGAACTCTGAGGCCCCATCCACACAATCAATCAGCATTGATCTCCTCCTATATCACAACGACACATGATGCACATCTAGTGGCCGTTCACGTACACGGGGAATTCCGGTGTAAACATGAAGCAGATGGTCTATTTCGTAGTTACAGATGATTTGGCAAAGCATAAAGTAGGGGAGAGCAGGGGCAAAAGTACCATTTTGATTATGTTTTAGACAGTGATATATTTTTGCTGTGGTTACTAACTCACAAGTGTGGTCGGTCTATCAATACCAGGTGGTATTTTGCAACTGCAAATGTATTTTGTCCTTTATCTTTGCAAAAAATTAATAAATTACATTTTAATTTTTTACTATTTATTTACAGTTTCAACAAATGTTTCAAAAGTGAACCTTGTTCAAAATGTTTTTTATTGGTAATGTCAATCCATTTTATAAAACATTTCTTCCATTAAATGGAAACGTAACTGTAAGGAAAGAGGTGAGCCAGTCCTTTCCCGCCATCTTAGTGGCACTCCCATCCACTGTGATATTTGCAGACCTATCTGCTGGCCAATTCATATATAAATTTGTGCACCTAAAACAAACAAAAAAATTGTTAGAGGGAGATTGTTTATGAACTTTACATGATTAAGATAAAATAAGACTTTACTGATCCTGCACTGGGGATATTGACATTTTGCAGCAGCTACAGAGACAGTGGAAACGTAAACATAATATAGAAAGATATGAATGTTAAAATACAAATTTAGACTTTGAGCAGTGTGAGTGAGCTGCATGTTGAGTGTTTTTTTACTGTAGCTTACTACCTACACTGACCTTCATAGGTGAAAGGCCAAAATAAATATCAGCTGTTCTCTTGATGTAAGCAATCTAGATTCTAGAGTCTCCTCTGTAGACGAGACCACCAGGGTACCACATTCCAGAAATCATGTGGTACCCTGGTGGTCTCGTCTTCTCCCTACTGGTGTCTGGCCTCCTTCTGCAGTAGCCTACCTGAGCAAAGTGACATGGCATATTCCATGCGACTTAGCAGCTGCCCTTAAACTGAAGTTTCTGACAGAGATGTCCAGAAACGCCCTCTCATAAACATCTGGCTGAATCAGACCTCTGTTTGTCTTTCTGACCCTCACTCGTCGCATATTCTGTTGGTTTAATATAACAATAACATGTTTCAATACATGCTGCAACACCGAGAAAGTCACCACTTTAGCAGCGGGACAAAAGGAACACTTGTGGTCACTGTAGCGGGACGCTGTATATAAACCGATTAATTTTTAAGCTGAAAAACTCAGAGGGGCCAATCTTCAGGGCGCTAAATGTTGTCCTGTTAACCATTGATCCTTACTGTGACACATGAAACGAGAAACACAACTTGTAATTCAAAAAACAGTATAGCTTCAGCGCCCCCCTAAGCTCAATGTCTATTTTCTGACACATTAAAGAACATTTTATTGATTTAAAAAAAAATGCTTAGGGCAACATATTATATAGTAAAATAAATACTTATAGTTGACAAATTAATTTGTATTTAATCAAATGTATTTTTTTAGGGAAAAGGCATTTCCACATGGGGTAATATGTCCCCCACCCCTACGGGCAGTTACTGGTATTTTCCATAAATAGCAGTCATGATCTGACTTTATGCTGCACACAACGTGAGCCTGCCAACAGCGAAAGTGAAAGGAGTCGGTTACCTGGCTGAGAAGGTGGAGGTGTGCAGCCTGTGGCCTGCAGCTCTCTTTCTAACCGCTCCCTGTGTCTGTATATAATATTTCAAACTAGTCCGCTGTCAGAAAACTGTTGAAAATGACAGTTGTCAAGAGTTGTCATATTATTCTAAATCCTGCAATGAAGTAGAACAAATGCATATTAAATCCTGGGATAAAATCATTTGTATTTATTGAAATTAGTATATTACTTTGGAAGCACATCACAATTTAGAAAAACACTATAATGAATTATTTGCTGCCAGACATTTTTTATTGTCAACTGATCAGCACTCAGAATTTTAAGTTTAATACTTGCATACTGCAAACCAAAAGGAGAGACAGTTGTATTTGTTGTATTAGTTTTATTAATTGCACATTTTCTGCCCCAGTGCCACTGCTCTTTATTATTATTATTAAAAAATGTGACTGCTGAATCAGATGATTGTGAATCAGTTTAGTTTTCATTAATCGTAAAGTAGTTTCCTTTACATCCAAAGTGGTCTTTGAGGGTGAACTGATGAATGGCAACCCATCTGTTGATGATCAGTATTCAATGTTCATTCATTGTAGACTCTGTCAACAAACTCCAGGATGTAGCTGTCCACAAATACTGAACGGTATGAGTCTAATGAACAATGCTTGTGTTATAGCTGACTTAAATATTAATTTTTTTAATTAATGTGGTCGTAGTTGTCCACAAGTCAAATCAAAAGGAAGGAATAGCTAAAGGAATGTACAACTGCAGTATTTTAATCTCAAAATACAGTAAAAAAGCTTAGTTTCTAATCTTTATGGAGTCAAGAGTTGTCCTAAACTCAAATGTGATAGCCTAGCTGTTGTCAGGAATTTTTTGTTTTCCCAGCAAACCAAAATTAAAGAATAAAGTAATTACCCTAACATTTTAGTGTTTTTAAACTTTTAATAGAAACATGTGACATTTTTTATACTTCTTGTGTAAATGATCCAATTAATATTATTTTCAAACTAAATAGACAATAAATATGTAAGGTTATTATTACATAGGTGAATAAATAAAGAAGCTAATTAAAAGAGACATAGCTATACATTTATGTCTCATTGTATAATTTATCATTTAATCGGATGTTAATGCATTTATTGAGCATTTATTTATTTCGGTATTTATTTACCTTTATGTCAGGATCCATCCTCCATATTATGTAGTTATCATCTGAAAGTACCCAGTAAACAGCCATGTAATAATGATATGTTTGATTATTGTGAAAGGAGATATGGTCATAATGTGCGCGATGTAGACATTTAAAACTATTGTTTGTTAATGGCTCAATGGAACTTATCATAGAAGTAACCGACTGTAAATGGGGGCAAACCCTGTTAAAGAGCACAAGCAAACAAAGCTGAACATTTTGGAAAAGCTGAACATTTTGGAAAAGATCAAGCAGCAAACTCCAGGTCTGAAAAGTGAAAACAATGCATATGTCTTAATCTTGAACTCTTTCTAATGGCCAGCAGGGGGCAACTCCACTGCTTGCAACAATAAGTCAGATTGCAGTGGAGTCAAAGACAAAATAATCTTCCTTCTCACCTCAGCAAACAATTTCCTAATGGGTTTATGGCTTCAATCACTACTTTCAACACTTCTTTAATACAGCATGGTGTACATTTAGTAAATTCTGGTCCCAATACGAGGAAAATAGAAATAAAGTTAAATATATAATAGCTTTGTATATTTAACTAGCTGTGAACCTGTTTTTGAGTGCCTTGGTGTTTTCATCTAAGAGTTTTAACCCTTATATACAGTGTGGTTTCAGTCAATGAAAGTTAATTGTAACATTTTCTTCACAAATGTGCTTGTTGACTAGAAGCATTTTCCAGGCAACTAGTGGAGACTTCAGGAAGTTACTGTTAACATATCAGTATTATGATGAAGATAATTAACTTAACATTGTTTGCGTTCTTCACAATTAATCACTAATCCAGGTGATTTTTCATTTTTCTGGTCTGGATTCTGATTCATCACATTGTTGTTAACTTCCTTGATGCTGAAACACATAAAGTCAACTGACTGGTTTAAAGTGCAGTTCACAGAAAGCATAATTTTCAAAAGCAGTAGATTAATGAAACAAGTGGTTAGCAATATTAGGAACTTTTAAAAAAATTCATGATCTTTATACACAACGCTTTACATTCTCTTTAATTTTTACCTGAGAACAGCTGCATTGATTCCCTATTTTCCATCCAGTATTAGTGACGGACTTGTATGCAATCACGGGAATATGTCTTGTATTAACAAGGTTTATACAATAGGAAATGCAAATAACATTTATTGCTTAATTACAATTATAGGGCATGACTACACTAAGAGTGATCACACAGTTGCAGCTGTAAACTCAGTGCTTGAGTTCAAACTGATGTTACAACCCAGCTCGTTAGGGTAGGGCAGTAACAAGGTATTTGGGTTAAATTAAGGTGGTAAGGACAACTGAAATCAGGTTGAGTCGAAGTTTAATTAAATGAGTTGTCTCCAAAAAAACATAACAAAAGGAGGCTATGTAGGTACTGACAAAAAAACACTTAACAAAAGGAGGTCAGTACCTACATGCTGTACAGGAAGGTAGTGTAACCAAACAAACAATTTTCCCCCTTAAAGGGTGCCACTCACAATCTAGTTTACAAAGGTTTTTACTGACAAGAGTCACTTAAGCCGGCAACCAACAAACAGATAAGATTTAAACACTCAAGACCTTCACAGGGGTACACAACCAACAACAAGGCGAACTGATCACTGGCTCACAGTCGCCTCGAACTGCAGGAACACAAACTATTTGTAGGCCAGCTGGTGTTGATTGGTGAGTTCTGGTTGGCAGGTTCGGTAGGATCCTCGGCCACACCAATCAGACGCCAGCAAACAGCAACCAGGAAGTGGGTGGTTCCAGGTCCAGGGGAACCAATCCTCGACAGGTGCTTGCCGTGGGGATTTGCATACAGCTCAGAGAACTCCAAAACACAACTACTCTAAGGCAGCCAGCGGCGGCCGTAACACTGATGTATCATGTTGGTTACTAACCACACTGAGTGTAGACAGAACAACGTGGTTTCCACTGTAATAAAAAAGTATGTAACATATTAAACATTTATAAGCGTGTAAGTTTGGTAGCATCTAGTGGAGAGGGTTGCAAATTAGTCCTCCATTTGTATACATTTCATGTTGTTTCTTACCTCTAACAAACAAGATGACTACTACTACTACTACTTGTTCTTGTTCTTGCTCTTCTTCTTTTTCATTTGTATTCAACGTAGTGACGAAACGAAATCATATTTGGTTTCAGGTCCTGTTCAGTCATGTTGGCTGGGCTAGTATAATTCACAAGCTGCTTCAACTTCTTTTTAGTAAAAACATAGTGTAAAAATATATAAAACTGATGGACCGACCATCTGTGTGTTCACTGTGTTGCGCCACAATCCTGCTGTTAAGTGATGTTATTTTTACATCACTTACTTGGCAGCAATGCCTGGACGCAACACACATACACAGACAACAGTTGTGTGACAGGGTAACACAAACTCAGTGCTTCAGCGTACATTACTGTATCGGGCTCGGGTCGTTTTCAAACATAGAAAACAGAACATCTGTTGGGTTCGGGTCGGGCTCAGTTACTACATTCTCAG